AACCAGCAATTGGTTCTGATTATTGTTGCTCTTATTTCCTAGTATTAGAATGAACAAACAGATCTGGACGTAGAGATGTGTTTCTGACCATTGCTCTTTCTGTTCTTATTGATGCTCAAACGGTTACATCTTCAGCAAGTGGCAGTCTTAGAGATGTAAGGTTACTGATGCCTTCCATTTGCATAGCAGTGGAAGTTATGTGCAGCTGCTTGGGCGGTATTCACGGCCACGCCATTCGTAAGGGCCCATCATGCAGTGCCCTAAGTGACTGAGTGCTCTTGTGTGTGAGGCGCTGGCTGGCTCTCATGCCACCAGGACCGGCTTTATGGCCTTATCGTGAATCTGTCTGCTTCAGTCACACAAGCGTGGTTCAGGTGATGAATAAACGGATGGGTAAACTTCTGTTAGGTACAAAGCAATCTAAACCAGTGTTTCATAAAATGCAGTCTGTGGTCGCCAAGTAATACTGCATTCACCGTCACTGGCCAAGGGGAAGGGAACGCACGTGGACCCCGTCCACTGCCAGCTAAGTGGCACCACAGTTTCAAGGGCAGACAGAGTGCCAGAGTAGGATGAAGGAGGGAACAGCAGAAACAACTGTGGGTTATCTACCATACAATGCGCACCGCGGCAGCTGTCGCTGTGGAGGCCTCTGCACGTTGGGGGTAGTAGCTTTTGGTTCTAGGGAAACAATGTCATTGGTGTGTTGCCTTAAATCAATTTTGCCAGTTAACTTTCATTGATTTTGTAACTTTGTACTTAATTTATAAATTTTTTTTAGTTTTAGCTATTGTAGAATGACTGTACACAAAAGAACATTATAATAAAAAGAATAAAGTCCACATCCATTTAAGAATGATTTTTTTCTTGTAGTGGAAGTTGGCCACTATCCAAGTTTGAGAGAAAGTGATCATAGTAACCTACTCAGCAGCAATTACCTCCCCCTTTTTTGCTTCCTAGCAGAGCCTTCATTTTGCCTAGATATTCCACTTCGCCCAGAAAGCCACACATTTAGGGAAGACTGGCAACTTCACCTCCCCAGGGTCTGGCCAATCATGGGGCGCTCATGAACCATGCCAGTGATTGATGTAAACATGAGCATGGGCTGAGTTTTGTCCAATGAGACCCAAAGGATGATTTGATGGGGGGCTTCCAGGAAAGATGTCTTCATAGAAGAAGACAAGAGACAAAAGGCAGAGACAGCCCCTTTCTTTTTCCTGTGAAAGTTGTTTTACTTAAAGCAGCTGCAGCCATCTTTTTCACACATGAGGATGGCCTGTCCTGGGAGAGCAGGAAGATGAAAGTGACCCAAGTCCTTGGCGACCCTCTTAAACTTTTGTATCACAAGCCCTATCTCCTGACTTCTTGTTTTAGGCGGTGATGCATTTTCCCTGCTGTTGATCTATGGCTGGTGGGTTTCTATTACCTGCACCTGAAAGTGTCCTGATGAGTCCAGGGACTGAGGGGTCAAGGGAGGATGGGCCCCTGGGTCTTGGCAGGGCCTGCTGTGGACATTGGCTTTCCTGGCCCAGCATCCTCACCAGGCAGTGAGCCTGTGCAGGCCCATTATCCCAGCACTTGGCAGAAGCCTGGAAGCCAGTGGGTGTTCAATACACCGCCGTGTGATGGAATGAGTAGTGGTTAGAGGAGAAGGGACCTAATCTGAGGAGTATGGGCACATGAGGCCACTGCTATGTCCCCTTCAGCAGCAGAAGCCATGCTCAGTGCCTGAATTTCAGTCTGAAGAAAGCGGCATCTAAGCATAAGTTACTAAACACTGGAAAACCAGCGGAGTGCTGAGTGGCAAGCAGTCAGCAGAATGAGGGGCAAATCAGAATGGTTAATACGAAAGCAGTCAGAAGCTCTGCAGGATTAGTCGGAATAATAAACCGTAAGTGAAGCCTCGGCCTGGCTCTGTGAGTGTATTTCCAGCACACTGGATTCATGCTTCACATCAGCAACAGTCAAAGAAAATAGATACAATTTTACAAGACAGTGGACCTAACTAAGTAGGCGTATTTGGTTCTCTTCAAAAAGGAAGGAGGAAGCCCCAGCTGACTAAATGTGACACTCTCCATTTCTAGCTGGGGATGTTAGAATGAGGTCAGAACAAATTTTTATCATTTTCATGCTAACTTGATAAAACTTCTTTTCATCCCTAAATTGAGTAGGAATTTTAATAGAAGATATTACAGCTGTAGCTAACGGGGCACATTAGGTATTATAAGAATTGCTTCTTACGTTTCTTAAAGTAGCAAGCAGGCAATTATATTATTTTCTTTTCAGATAAAATATGCTAAGGGAATACGTGCAAATTCAGTTTATAGGCCTACAGCTTTGCAACCACAAGTAAAATTCCTGTAGGGCACTGAGACAAAATAAACACGGAGAATCTTGGTCGTCGCATGAGCTGTGGAATGAAACATGCCGAGAAGAAAAACCAAGCACTTCCTCTTCAAAATACTGGGTCTTTTTTATCTCAAAGTAATGATGTAAGCAAGTTTGTACAAGACAAGTTTGAGACTTGCAGACAAGACTTTGGCAGGAAACCTGAATAAGGAAGGGTCCCTGCTTCCAGTTAGACACCATTTGTCCTGCTTCCGACTAGCTGCCCCCACACTCCAAAGGGGGGAAGCATCCTCTCTCCTCACTGAGCGAGTCCAGCTGGTCGATGACTGGAGGCAGAACCCCGATTCCCAGGTGATTAGCATTTTGGGCCCTAGAAGCCTGAGGCTTGAAAACTACACCAGAAACTCACTGATTCTGGGAGTTGCCTGGTTGATTGGAAAAAATTACTTGACTCTGGTTAACAGCAGCATGAGTAAGAGCCCGGGGTCTGGAGATGCCTGGACCTACCACTGACCAGCTGTGTGACTCTTGATAAGTTGCTTAAACTCTCTGTGCTTTGCTTTCCTCTGGCCGTGCGCATATCCTAGAGCAGTTTAGGGCTCCCGTTCTGGAAAGTACTGCACATATCAGCAGGCTCAGGAGCCACGTGAGCTCCAGTCTGCCTCAGCTTGGCCTTGTGCCCCTGGAGACACACAAGGAGCCGAAGGTGCCTGGGTGCTGAGAGGCGGCTCTCCACAGCCGGTCTGCACTCGTGTTTGGCGCCCATCACCCTGGGACAGGGCGCCTTTGCTCAGAAGCTTTATATTTCTGTGTTCCATTTTTTCTTTTGTTTTTTTCCTTTAGTTGCCTAGTAAACATTTCTTTGGAAAATTCCAAGCTTGCCTTGCATGAACTAAGAGGAAAAGCGACGTGTCCACACCCAGACCATCCTAGCCAGGGAGGGCAGAGGGCTGCAAGGACAGGCTTTGTCAGCATGGCCCAGCCCAGCTCCAGCTGGGGGCGCCCGAGGCGCCCAGGAGGAGCACCAGCAGAGGCGGCCGCTGGGGGGCCGGCGCCGCCCACGACCTTCTTTCTTCCTTCTCCAGCTCTTTGGTACTTGTTGCTCTTTGTGCACGACCATAGACTTATCACTGAGGGGCAGGTTTGCACGACTCCTTGTCACACAGGACCTCACAACCAGAGGTTGTCTCTGTTCATTTGGGAACCTCCATTGTCTACGTAGTATTTAACACATAATATTTCCTTCTTGTACACAAATGGTGTGACGCTGAAGTCGGGGGAGGGGGCTCCATGCGCAAAAGAACCGTCCCTTCCTCCCTCCCACCTGGGAATCCCAGCAAAGTGAGGGAAAAGGCCTGCGAGGGAAGATGGCGTCACAGTGCAGCCTCCCAGGAGAGCGGATGGGCACGCAGCGGCTGTAGACCACAGACCTTAGCAGGCAGGATCGAATCACTGGCCTCTTATTACTGTTACTTGGAAAAGTTGAGAGAGTGTTGTCCAATACACGCTCACAATGCGTCTAGTCAGATGATGGTGAGGCTGGGTGCATTTGGCAGGTGCTTCCCTGGGGAAGATTGGTTGGGGTGGACGCACTACTGGGGCACCTGGGGGGTCTCTCCACAAGAGGCAATCACCTCTCTTGGTTTCACCAATGAAAAATTGGTCATTTCTAGATTGCTGCAGAACAATTAGGATGACACCTATGTTTTCCATGTCTGATTTCATGCCCCATCCTATCACCTGTTCTAACTTTTAGACACTCTTACATTGTTATATTTCTCTGGGAACTTGGGACATCATGAGGGTGGCCACATCTGATACTGAATCTGCAGTGGCCTTAGAGGGTCCATGCTTGTCCCACTGCGCACAGAACCTGGCCCCCTAAGTCAGCTCCAATGCAGATGTTTGGGGTGGTGACCAGGGTGAATGCTTAGAGTAACTTGCTTTATTTGACATTGTGGCCTTAGCTAGCAGGGCCGTTCCCATGTAGTGCCACCAAAGTGACCTCTCACCCTGACCTGGTCACTGGAAACATGCCTGGGCTTTTTCTGTGTCAGTTTGCAAGAGAAAGGACCTTAGTGTCTGGACCTCATGCGAGGGATTTTCTAAAATGTAGACTGAATATAAGCAAATAGGAGAATCCTTTGAGTCCTTTAAACTTTTGTACCATCCCTTTGGACACAAGGGGCGCACTGAGAAGCACTGTTTCGCTATCAGAGATAATGGACTTCACTGAGTTTCTTCCCTTCATACAGTTTTCAAAAAAACTCAAGAGAACATGGTCCAGCATTTCACAGGACAATGAGACGAATTTCAAAGATGCTAATCGGGCCTCCTGGGTAGATCTCCCGAATCTCCGGGTCAACCCCAATTTTCGCCAGTTTTGAGAAAATTTGCAGTGAGCCACCGTTCTTCATGTTGTGCCACAGGGCTGGAGATGGATGTCATACTTGATGCAGCAATCTCTTTTCACACCAGGGCAGCAGGGAAAACAGTTCCCAATTTGAAAATATTTAAAATAGTGTGCATATAGGCAATATTTTCAAATCCAAGCAGCTAATGATAATACATTTGGTCATGTTTCTGTACTGCCTTACAGTCAATGTGCCCTTACACCTCGATTACACCTATGGCAATGCTGTAAAGTGGCCAGCAGACAGATCACTATGCCAGCTGTTGGGAGGAGGAAATGAAGGTTCAGGAAGCTCAAGTAATTTGTACAGGGTCACAAAATAGGTGAGTCTCAGAACTGAGAATAAAAACTTCTATCGTCCATGTCCTGGCCCTTGCTGTCTCTAGGTGTCCGAGATGGTAGGAACACAGCAGCAAACAAAACCGACAGAACCTCTGTTTGGGTTTCATAGTGTGGAGGAATGTGGACAAGCAGCTGAGTGACAGGTGTTATAGAAAATGGGGATCAGGGTGTGGCTAGCAAGAAGGCAGGCAAGTGGGGCACCCACAGGTTATATGGTGGGGCAGGGTACTTTTAAATGGGGCTCTGGGGACATTAGAACAAGGGCCTGAGAGTAGAAGGGGTGAACCCTGCAGAACTCCAGAGGGAGAGCTTCCAGGCCAAGGGAAGGCAGTCACACAGGCCTGCCATGGAAGTGGCCTGCATGTCTCGGGGGCAGCACAGAGGGTCAGGCCTACTGGCAGTGGAGGCAGAGGGGCTGGGAGGCCAGTCCTGGCCTTGGCTCTTCCTCTGACTCAGATGAGTCTTTGGCGGGTTTCAAGCCAACACGTGTTATATTTCCTAAATTTTACCAGAATCACTCTGTAAGTTTTCCTTACTACATAACTTCCAATAAAATCCAAGAAAACTGACACTGGAAGAAAATATTACACCTGCTAGTGTTAGAGGTCTCCTGACCTCGTGAACAATGACAGGTGCTGTTGGGTGGATGCCTTGTAGGTACTTGGAAGGAAGCTTCCTTCGCCCACATCATTTCATTCCATCCTTGCAATCGGCTGCATGATGTAATTGTTATTATGCCACATTCCAGATGAAGAAATAGAAGCTCAGAGAGGTTAACATGGGGCTCAAGTTCACAGGCTAATAACCAGTGACATCTTTTGAGCCTAAACTGTATTCTCTTTCATGTCTCTTATTAGCATGTGCCCATCATTAATAGCCGAAATGATCTTTTCAGTGGAAGAAAATGTGATCCTTGCCAAAATGCCTCATAAGAAGTGCTCTTGTAACAAATATTGGTGAATATTTAAATGTTTAATTAACACAATGGCAGTGTCCTTTCATGCCATTTGTACATGACATTCAACTTGTAAACCTTAGTTTAACGAAGAATCTAGTAATATGTAATAATTTTTAAAGGGAGTCTTTGATTAATCTTTGGTCCTATTAACAAAATTAATAACATTTTGAACAGCATTTATAAATATATTAATTTGGGCTCCTTAATTATCTGATTAATAAACAAATCTTCCCAAACACTTATGTAATTATTCCTGGAAAGATAACAAAGTCTGGACCTATAATGAATTTTACTTACTCTTAAAATGTCAGTATAAAACCATAACCTAAGCCAACTATTTAGCTGCATATTTTTAATTAGAATTATAAGTCTGACCTGACACTCCAGCACACAGAATCCTCTTAAACATAACAAATAAGAAAAGTACCAACTATCCACAAATTATTTCTTACCTCCCATATATCAAAAATAGGTTTTATTTACTTTAATCATTTTTACACTCAATTCTGTATCTTTTCAGTATTAAAAGTCATGTGCCCACCATGGAAACAGTCATGTCACCTCAAATATATCTGGGATTGAATTCCCAGGTGCATTCTGGGGACTCATCACCAGCCGGCTGAGGTGGCATCGTGTGCAGGCATAGAAGGTAGGGAGTGTGAACCAGAGGGCGGTTCTCCCAACCGGCAGGCTGAGCCTGGTTCTATCCTCACTATGTCAATGTCCCAGCTCTGGTCCCCACATTCAGTGACTTGTTACCTACTTTTTCCTGCCAGGTCTCTGTACCACATGATTGGACTTCATGATGCTGTTTCGGGCTTAATTCTATTTTAAACTCTTTTCCTATTGCACAGACTGGGGCAGCCATAACTCAGTTATTTAAATGATGTTGCACTGGCTTTCCTGGTGACCCTGGTCACAGTTTTGAAGTCTGACCAGCAGCAGACCTGGGCATGTGTGGATGATGACAGAGAGAGGAAGTGAATCTGAAAGACTGTAGAGGGGCAGAGTGGGAGACTCTGAGGCTCTGGATCTGCGAGGATGGGCTGTGAGCTGAGACACAGCGCCCCACTCCAGCAAGGATGGGGATGAAGAGCGTGGGTCAAGGGCTGCCTCTGGGACTCTGAAATGGAATGTAAAGAGAGGAGCTGGTGGCGCACCAGTGAAGCTGAACTCTCTGAGGCTTAGGTCCTTGGTATTTCTGGGAGGTGGAGGGAGGTCAAAGCCAGGGAACCTCAGAAAGCAACAGGGGAAGGAAACAAGGGAGTCGGGCTAAGGAGCCTGGACGTTTCTGCACAGAACAACCAGGAGTCTTGAACAGTGCTTCCAACAGGCACTGGGGGAGTGAAGAGGGAGCTTAGGGATAAAGATGATGGTGAAAGCTGGACAATGCGGGGACCAGCAGGGTCAGAGCCACAAAACGGCATGTGTGTGCATGTGCATGCAAGAGCTCAGGGCTGGGCATAGCTTGCTGAATGCTGCCATGGCTCACCCATCTCACCTGCCTGTGTACATCTGAATAGCTGCTCCTCACAAGTATTGGCTCATGCAGTGACATCATGAAACCAAATTTCTTTCACTCTGGAGGAGGTAGAAAGAGCTACAAATAAATCTTCAGGGATCGGTAGTTATAATTCTCTGTTTATGGGGTTTTCTCTCACTGTAAAGTACATTAAAAATATTGACGTGACAATATAAATGAACCCTACTCTTTTTTTTTAAAGCAAGAAGTCTCTTGAATTTGCATCTGTTTTGCTTTTTAAAACCAAACTCCTGAGGAAAACCAATTCAAATACAAGTTCTGCAGTATTCAACACATTTCTGTGGCCACTCAGCAGAGACTCCACGGCTCCCACGGAGTGCCCACCTCACTCCTGGGCCGCGGAGGGCTGGGGGCAGGGCCAAGGGCTGCCGCAGCGCCACCTATCAGTACTGCAGGGTCTGCCACGCGATGGGCCCCCAGAGGTTCTCTCCTTGCTTCTGGGGAACATTTCAAAAGCAGAATCATTCTTGGCATGATCCCTCTTACTCCCTTTGAAGAAGCAAGTTGCTGTCCACATAGAAAATTATAGTTCCTACACATGCGGGTTTGGAATCTGAGCAAGTTATTTTGTTCTGGAAACACTTTAGCATAGCTTAAAATTATGATCCCTTTATAGTTTTGATTTATTTCAGCCACGTTACCAGGATGTGTAGAAGGCATAGTGAACGGAAAGCTTACAGTGTGCTGCTTGCGAAACTCAAAAGCCACACTAGGAAAGGGGCCGTCATCTGAGCCAGCATCTTGTCTGGAAATAATTATGCCGAGTGAACAAAGCTGTGGAAATCTACAGTGTACAAAATACAACATCCATACGCAACTGAAGGGAGCAAAATTCTGGTATATTTACACACAGCTGTGCCTAGGACTTCAAGGTAGAAAGCAGGTTTTTACCCATGACCCACTGCTTCAATTAGAGACCTTAGAGTCAAAGTCACATTCATTAATTACTCTATTAAATGATGACAGATTTATGAGTAGGGAAGCTTCAAAAAAACTGAAGATTTGTCTGCTATTGTGCAGTTTGAGACTATAATACTCATAGTATTAAAACCACTGCAGATTATTTTAGGATGCTACTTCTGTCTATGTGGGAACTTAAAAAAAAAAAAGACTTCTGATACCTCATTAGCTGGGAAATTGAGACGCGAAAGAGCCATGAGGTTGCTTTTTTGGTCTGGACTCAGTTCCTTTCCCAAATCAAAAAAAAAGTGCATACTGCTGTCTTTGTGAGAAGTTTTGCTTTCACTGCAAAACTTGAGGCTGTGGGAATATGGGATCAGGCAGTGTGCTCTATTTTCATCATCTGACTCTTTATTCTGCCCAGTAAAGGGACCATATGGAGTTGCAGTCACAGCCCAGGGGGAGCAAGCTACACAAGTAGCTTGATGCATATTTAAGTGTGTCGCACTAGAAATGAAGCTCTGATACATTTGCAAGCCTTTGAAGTGAGATAGGAAAATCTTTAGTCTTACCCAGTTCTGCCCCTGCCATGACTTGCATTTGAGAACACAAATGTATGAGAAACTGCGGGGGGGTGCGGTGGTTGCCAGGGGCTGGGGGAGAGGAATGAGGGGCTGGGGTTTAACAGGTATGGAGTTTCAGTTTTGCAAGACGAAACAGCCCTGGAGATGGGTAGTGGGGATGATAGTACAGCAATCTGAATGCACTTAATGCCACTACACTGTTAAAATGTTATGTGTATTTTACCACACTAAGAAAATGAATTTTTAAAAGCTGGGGAGAAGGTAATCAGGTAAGTAGAATTCTCAGATGGCCCATGATTCCTTCCCCCCAGGCACATGTTCTATACAATCTCCTGTTGAATGTAGGTTGGGCTTGTGAATGTGATGGTATCCCACTTCTGTCATTAAGATACTTGTATGATAAGGGGATTCTATTTTTTTCAAATGTGAGTAAGGTCCCTAATCAGTTGACTTGGAATTCATTAAGAGGAAGATTATTTTGGGTGGGTTTGACCTAACCAGGTAAGGCCTTTAAAAGAGGACCTGCTGAGAAGAGAGATTTGAAGCAGCAGCTCTCTTGTTGGCCTAGAAATTCTACCATATTGTGGAGAGGAACACAGAGCAGGGGACAGGGCTGGCCTCTAGGAGCTCTAGGGCCTCACTCAGACAATTCCAAGGACTGGAATTTTAGCAGTAACCAGTGAGCTGGGACTGAGCCCTGGGTCTCGGGGAGCTTGCAGCCCCTGGTCAGCACCTTGATTTCAGCCTTGGGGAGACGTCCAGGGACCCTGCTACCTTGTGCTTGGATTCCTGACCCATAGGAGCTGTAATTCGGTAGATAGCAGCAGCAGATGAAACCCTCTGGTCCCTGGGCTGGTCCACCAGGTGTCTGCTGTGGCACATCCCCCATGTCTGCTCTTTGCTGACATCGCAGGGGCTTCTCTGCTGGTGTGGAGGATGGGGTAGAGGCCAAGATGAGAGGGAAGCATTGTGTGGGAGTCAAGGTGCCAATGACCTCGTTTTATTTTGATTAAATATAAAACAGTCACCTCTCAAATGAGACAAAGGCATGGGTTTTAATAAATACTTTAATATATTACACTAACTCTTCCAAGTATAGATCCACAGGGACAGATCTTTTCTCCTCATGGGGCTAGGTGTGCATTTTAATTGTACATCTTCGTAAAGATGCGCACCAAGGACAAGGGAGATGGCTGAGATGGGAGAGCTCAAGAGGGTGGTGGGGGCCCTGTCTGTGACCAGCCCCGTGGTGTCTGGATTCAGCACCCATGAGATGAAAGGGTCAAACTGGAGCATCAGCTGAGCTCTCACCAGACTGTGGGGGTGATACATCCAGAAGCTGGGGTACTCTGACCAGAGACACAGCCGGGGGGCTTTGTCCCAGATTCAGTCTTCAAAGGGTCATATATCCCCAAGGTGTGCACAGTTGTTTATGGCTAAAGAAGCATGTACTGGACCAGGAGCCTGGAGAGGGAGCTGGATGTAGATCCCCGGGCAACCAAGTCTCCCATGTCACCTGGCAGCATCTCGTAAAGAACAGAAGCTGAACTGCCCGGTGACTGAGCAGATGAGCATCATCAATTTAATCAGGCATCTGAGTTTGTGGAGTTGGAATTCAGGACATGGCAGCAGCTGGTCCATGGCCTGGGGGACGGGGGAAACGGGCTGCCACCCACCTGTCTGCTCCACATCCATTCCTGTACTCCCACAGCCCGTCCTGCACACAGCGGCCCAAGTGATGGTGTAGACAGGTAAACCAAATCAGGTCGCCCTTCTCCTTAGCAACTGCCAGTGCCTCCCTACTCACCAGGCACAACCCACGGACTGCCCGTCCTCTGTGCTGGCAGTCACCCCAGCTGCCCCACTTTGGTTCCTGAGCATGCTGGGCTGCTCATTCCTGAGGTGTCGCCTTGCCACCCCCTCTTCCCAGAATCCTCTTCTACCACTTCTTGTCATTGAGGCTCACTTCCTCAGAGAGGCCTTCCCTGGCCAACCAACCTAAACTGGTCCCCCCACTTCCCCAGGATTCTCCATCCTGTAGGGCTGAGGAGGGCTTACCAATAGGAACAGGATGAACCATGAGGTATTGGATTGAAAATTTAAATATTGGTATATACTTAGGTTTGTGTGTGTGTGTGTACACATAGAGTTAAATATAGAAATTGTATGTGTGAATGTATGTCTGCATGTTTATGTGTGTGTGTGTGTGTGTGTGTGTGTGTGTGTGTGCGCGCGCGCGCGCACGGAGATGCACGTATACGTATTTCTGACCTCTGTCAGCTGGATGGGCCTGAAAGAGGAACAGGCACTACTAGCACCCAGGTCTCAGTTGGAGAAATGGGACTGATTCCAGGGCTGGGGTAGGGAAAGTATCGGATGAGCCTGGGAAGTCTTTTGTGCCAGAAAGTAAGGAAGCACCCAAGAATGATGGGAACATGTCTGAAAGTCACAAGAACCAGCTTGAAGGGAATCTGCAGTGGCTGATTTTAGAATAAGTATCAAAATAAATAATTGCATCACAATCCATGGTATGAGATAGAAATCCACGAGTCCCTGCTGGTGAGAATAAGCAAATGAATAAATAAATGAAGAGAAGGGAAAGCTCTTCCTCAAGGTAGAATGTCAGTTAATAAGTGTGGAAGAAATGATGGAAATACGTAATTACTCTTAGGCAACAGTAACTGTAGTAGTTGATTGATACATTTGTGGATCACTTGTGGGTGGAGGTTGGAGGAGAAACAGGATATTGGCAAAAGATCGATTTGTCTCCACACAAAATACTAATCAAATGCAAGGGGGAAAATGCAGACGCAGCTCGATGGGGTGATCAAGGGAACGCCAGCGCAGGTGGGACAGTCAGGAACGCAAGCCTCCTGATGCGCTGTGAAAGAAGCGCGCAGCATCATTCCAGGGATGCCCCTGCTGGTGGGGCCACGCAGTGAAGGGCCTGTGCTCCTGCAGACGGTCAAGGACACGAGGGGCAAAGAGAGACTGGGAGCTTCCCAGGCAAGAGACGGGACTGACAAGTCGACACGACGCCCTGCCCAGAAGCCTGCACGGGGGAGGGAAGAGACAGCTGGCAATGTCTGAACAAGGTGTGTGGAGTGGACGGCTGTGCTGTGTCAGTGGGCTCCCCTGACTTGGAGAGTCGTGTGCCGGAGGTGTGGGAGTGCATCCTTGTTTCCAGGAGTCACGTGATAGAGTACTTAGGGGTGCTGGGGCAGGATGTTAGAAAGACTTATCTATCTATCCAGATCTATCACCTAGCTATCAATCAATTGTCTGTTTATCTACCTATCATCTATCATTATCATAATTTATCTATTATCTATCCAATTTTATTATCATCTATTTGTCTATTCATCTATTATCTATCGTTGATTACCTATCATCTATCTATCAATCCATTGATCTGTCATCTATCCATCTATCAGAGAAAAGAGAAGGTATGAAACAACGCAGTAATAATAATTATTAGAAATGAATTACATAAGTGGTAATAATATATATTAAAGTTGGGGAATCAAGGTGAAGAGAGTTCTTTGTACTGTTCTTATATTTTAAGTCATTGGAAACTACTTCAAAATAAAACTTTAAAAAGTAATACGGTAATCTCTTCTCTATCCACTTCCAGGATTTCCAAAGGACCAGACAGAATAATGTTAAGTCTCTATTAAAATATCTTTTAATATAAAAAATATGTAATTCTCTTGGTAATTTATCTACTTATTTGTTTATTATCCATCTCTGGAAACAAGAATGGGAGCTCCCTGAGAGCAGCGACCTTGGCCTCTCGTTTCCTGCTTCATTCCCTTGGCCTGAACACAGTAAATACCTGCCGAATGAGTAAGTGAATCAACAGAAATTAGGTCAGTTTTACACTTGTCATTACTATAGAATAATGGTGTATATATTAATTTTTTTCTCAGAAACCTTTATAATCTAATAGTCAGTTTATTCCTCAAATAATTACTGATACATAATTAAATATATACTAATATATAACTAAATATATCCATCTGAGTGACTGAGTTTGATCACTTCCTTAACATAGGGGTTGCAGATTAACTGCCATTTAAACGACACATAAAGTCTGAGGAATAAAGATGCACTTTCTATTATAGACACATACTCCAAGGGACATTTAAAAGAACCAAGGATGACACAGGGCATTACCCTGCTCAGAACTAGGCCTTGGGTTTTGTGCTGTCACCCAGGCCACCACTGTCTGTCTCAGAGGAAAGACGTGGCCTATGAAAACTATTTTCCACCCGATAGAATCTTCCTGTTGTGTAACAGTTTGGGTGAATTTTCAAGTTGGTGCAAAGCCACAGTGGAACAGTGAAGGGAGGGAAGAAAAAGGAAGAAATGTTTGTTCAGATCAAAGCCAAATCAATGCGAATGATTTTCCAGTTTGGTACTCCAACTGTTACGACATTCCAGGGAGGTGGAATTTGCCCCATTGCTTAACTAGGAACAGTGTGGGTAGGGGTGAGAGTCTGGCTCTTATAAAAGGCCAGCTTCAGCCCCTTATAACCTCAGACAGCATTACATATTCTTTTATTTCTTCTTAGTAAAAGTGCATTCTATGGAAATAGTTCTTTCCTTTTTTCTTTTTCTGTTCAAGGTATTTTCATAAGCCCCTGGTATCCCCAGAGTCAAAATTCACCCTTGGAATTCCTCAATTTCTCTCTAACTAAGGAAAATGCCTCATTCTGCCACTTTCCATTCCCATCTTTCACTCCAAAAATTGTTGCTTTAATCTAGGAGTATGGAATTCAAATAATCTTCTGGGGAAACTGAAGATATACTCAGCAGTATAGGGATATAAGGTCTGGAGAACACTCTCTAACACCAACATTTCAAGATTAAATAGAATCACGATTAAGTAGAGAAACTCTCAGGGCATGAAAATTCTAACATGTTGAGTAATGCCACTAAAATATCTTTTTCTGTGTATCTGGCTCCATTTTGTTCCTGGGTTTATTTGGCAAGTTTCCTTCTAACCTATATCAAATTCATATCATCCTGTTCAGTTTTATTCACCTTAAATTCTACTTGTATGTAGATGTAACTCCCACATCACCAACCAATTTGTGAGCAGTCCTTAAATTTTCTTTACTGCAGAATCATCAGTAGATGTACTAAAATGCCAAAATCACTTTCATAAGCCATCTGTTGACAATATTCTAGATCTTCTCGGAAGTCATATCTTGTTAAAAGTCTGATTCATACAAACCAGATGTCCAAAAATAAGGAAATGGCTTAGTAAATCATCGCACAATCAAGATCGTGGAATATTATGCCACCATTAAAATTGTAATTATGTAGTCTACTTTGAAACATAAAACAGTATAATATCTTAGGGAAAAAAAAGATATGTACACTCTGATAAATAACTATGCTAAATATTTATGTATTGGAGAAAGCATTAATGGTAATATGCAAAATGGTGAGGATACACATGAAATGTTTTAAAAAATGATTTAATTTTAATGATACGTTACATTTAATAAAAAAAAGAAATATGATTTGTGAACCTTGTCAAGGAAAGTAACTTGTAAGGTTGATCCTGAGCTTCACCATTTATTCAGTGAATGGTAATGGGTCCCAATACTGCCAAGGACACTAGGGAGGTTTCTTCCTCCCTGTTCATAATATTTTAAGTCATAAATAGAGCTAAGTAAGTCTGTTTTGTTCAGAACTGTAGGTGTAATGTCAACAAATAAAGTAGTGGGAGAAACAGTGGACAAAATTCATTCATTCAAGAAACATTTACCGGGACACTCATGGTGTATGGACTTGGGGGGATACCGTGACAGGTACAGTTCCACCTCGCATAGTGCGTGTTGTGGCCAGGAAGATACATTAATCCCAGTTAGACTTGTCATGTTTACACTGCAACTCTGATTCTGCCCTACTACCCGAGGTCTTGGCAGGAGGGTACATTCAGAGTTCTCTCTCCCAGCACAGAAGCTGAAAGGGCGGGATCGCCCCTCTTCCGGTTGGGAGGTTGAGATGTACCCACCCGCTGAGCAGGAGCCGTCAGCTCAGCCAGTCACGTGTGCTCTCTGGGAATCTGTGAAGGCGAGACAAAGGCCTGGGTCATATTCAGCAACACAGGCAGCAGGCCTGGCTCCCCACCCCAGGGAGGCTGTTGGGGGTGTCTTGGCATTTCAGAGTCCCTTTTTTCTACTGGTTCCCAGGCTTGGTCCTTCAGTCTTCTCCTGGGTCTGAGCCACACCCCTGTGCTCCCCCACTTCCACCAACCCCTTTCCCTCCAACAAATTCCTCTTTGCATGTCTTTGTCCGAGTTGTTTTCTGTTATTTGTAATCAACAATTCTAGCGGACACAGAGGGAAATGTCATGTGTTTGGTTTAGCAGAGTGGTTAGGTCTCAGGCAGACGTCCTGTCAAATCCTGCATCAACCTTAGAAGTCTAGACAAGTTGCTAGAGTGCTCACTGCCTCATTTTGCTCGTCTGAAACTGGGGAGAACCTCCCTCCCTCCTTAGTGGGGCGAAATGAGAAAATGCAGTCTGGCAGGGTGCCTGGCTCATAACAGGGCCGGCAAGAGTTTTCTTACTCCCCTTCCTGTCCTTTAGCCTCAAATAAATATTCGGTGATCTGTTGGCTAAAAGAACTTTAAAACCAAACCAAGGAAATGAAAATCTGTAGTTCTTTGCTTCCCAGTTTCCAGTATCTCTTCCCTAATACATTTTCAGCATAGCCACTGGCATTACATTTATATTTCTAGAACTGGATGATTGGACTTAATAATTCTAAAGATGATTCACTAATGGAATAATTCATATTATCTGGAGACCACAGGAAAAAAATAGCATAATATATATTTGTCAACAGTAGTAAAAAGTAGAATAATATGTTTTTGTTGACAATATTAAAAACCAAACCTGAATAGCCCTTTGAAGCCCATTGTAGCTAAAAGAGAGAGCTATAGCAAATGTAATCCATTGGTCCAATGATAATAGTACATAAAACACACAGTAAAAGCAAAATCCCCAGGCTGCCTTGACAAAACCTCAGGACCAAAAAACTGGCCCAAGAGCTTAGGACCAGCGCATCAGGGTGGCAGGAGCGGGGCCTCTGAGTTGTGGCTCTGGGGACTGAGCCATTTGGGTTTCTAAGTACTTCGCTGTGAAGCAGTACATTCGGTCTGTTTAGGAAAGACACAATGGATTGGTTTTGTAAAGGGTAAATGGCACTCACGGTCTCTTTGTACCCGAGGAGGAGGGCGAGACCCAGTTGGAAGCCGTCTGAGTCAGCAGGGACTCACTGCTATCGCTCCTCGGTTCACTTCATGACATATGACTGCGCAAGGGCCTGAGACCCTCTAAAGTGCCTTATTAATTCTTCTGCAGCCATGGCCAGGCAAAGAAGGGCACATTCCTAAAAATTATGATCCCATTGTTTCAGAGACAGGAGCTTGGTTCTCCAAAATTTGAGCATGATAGCAGAGACCCACTTTGGGGCCAGCATCTCACTCCAGCACACACTTCAGGGTCCAGTGTTTGTAACATATGTTTTATCCTTTAATTGAAATACTATGAATAATTTAATTTTACATGATAGTTTTCTGCCACAAGTAAACAAATCATGCCCATCTTCATTTTTGCTCTTTGACCCACACCCTAGGGGAATGTTCTCAAGGAAAGAAAATGGATTTGCATATCTACTTTAAATGTGCTTGGTATTCAAACTTAAAGAATAATTGCTAAATAGAGATATCAGCTAAGTCCCTCTGACACTTAGTGGCTTTTAAAACATAGTCATTATTTATTATCTGCCCTGGTTTCCATGAGTTAAGAATTTGGGCATGGTCCAGGCTGGGCCTCTGTGGCTCCCACGAAGTTTGCGGTCAATTTTTGGCCAAGCCCACAGCCATCTGGTGGCTTGCATGACTGTCCAGGTGGTCCCTATAGTGATAGCAGGTTGGCACTGGCTGTTGACTGGGGGGCCTCTGTTCCTCTTCTGGGCTCCTCTCCACAGTGCTGTTGTCACACACCGTATCAGCATGGTTGGTGATTTGTTTCCCCAAGAGCTAGCAAATCAAGACTCTAGGTTGATGGCCCTCAACTGGGGGCAGTTTTTTCCCCCTGACCCTAGAGACCCTAGAGACATTTAGCAATGTCTAGAGACATTTTTGATTTTTATAACTGAGCACAAGGTACCACTGGTATCTAATAGGTAGAGACCAGGGATACTACTAAACATCTTACAGTACACAGGGCAGCCCCTTATGTAAAGAATCATCTGGTCCAATACGTTAATAGTGTTGTTGTCGAGAAACCCCAGTTACAGTTGGAAGCTGCAATGTCTTTTATGACCTAGCCTCAGAAGTCTCCCATGGTCACGTTCGCCATATTCTGTTGGTCAGGCAGGGCCAGCCCTGATTCCGTAAGGGAGGGGATTCCATAGGGTGTGTGTCCTGGAAGGCATGGATTATCAGGACCAGCCTAGAGGTTAGGAAACACAGCACCCAAGTCTTAAAAGTAGTCATCGTGTAGGGTAGGACTGAGTGACTTTTCCCCTTTTCTACTTGTCTGTATTTTCTGAATTTTCTGGAATAATAACATATATTTATACAATAAATACAAATGAGTTTTATGTAATGCAAAATAAACATAAAAATGTTTTAAAACCCTTTAACACAGCCTAGTGCTTTGTGAGATATCATCCATGAAAATCACTGGGTCATTGGCCTCAAATAAATTATAGTCTAACATTGCAGAATGTTTTTAATAGGAGGGTCAGACAGCAGCCATGAGGGGTAAGGGTTCTACTGTCCACCTTTTGGTGAGAAGAGAGAGTAAGTTACTCCTGAACATCTATAGACCACTGTCAGGGCCTAGTATTTGGGCCCTGACAACTGGACCTTTCCATGACATATTTTCTCTCTAAATCCTATGTCCCTCCTTCGGTATTTCAAGAAAGACCAAACTACCAAGCAACACTCTTATAAAACTTGAGATGATGCTATCCATCTATTTGCTCTTATCTCAAACAGATTGCCTCAAACTCCCAGGATAACTTGCTTTCCTTCTCTGCAGAGCCCGTTGGTGGTTTAGCACTAGGCCATGTTAAAGGGCTTTGTAAGTCCAGGGAGAGGAAATCCCGGGGCAAAATCCCTCTAAAACCTGAAATCAGTCAAAGGGAGAAATAAAGTTTAAAACTCATTTATTGCTTACAAACTGCAGTCCAGCGCCATCTCTCTCCCCTGCTCTGGAAGCAAGCCAGCAACAAGCCAGCCCCTCCCCTTAACCTCTCAGGTTCAGACGTGCCCTCGGTTGCCCAGGTAATTACTCATTGACATGGGGGTGAACTTCTCTCCACCCCTGAGCATATGCAAATGCACCAAAGCCAGGCAAAATAATCTGGAAATGTTACAATTTTACCCATAGGCTTTAAAATATTTTTTATGTTTATTTTGCATGATACAAAAGTAATTTGTATTTATTGTATAAATACACATGGGGGTGCATGGGATCTTGAACCTCCTTACCTCCGCTGGGGCCTGGCTTCCAGTCTCCTGCCGTCTTCACTCTCCTCTCACCGTTGGCCATTTCATCTCAGCATTCAAGTGCACTGAAATATTTCCATTCTTTAAAATTAAAAAAAAAAAAGAAGTATACAGTATCTTCCTTCCCTCCCTCATCCACCACTAGCTGTTGTTCAATTTCTTCCCTTCCTTTCCCAAACTTCTTTAAAGAGACACCTATGCTTACTGCCTCCACTTCTCAGGCTCCCTCTTGCTCCCCCAGCGCCCTTCCTGTTGTCCCCAAGGTCAACAGACTGCTAAAGGCAAAGGTTTTCCTCTCACCTGCCCAGCGTTTCTCAAAGATGGCCCCCCTGGTCTGTATTAGAATCACCCGGAGGTCCGAGCTGAGCCTCCTGGGTAGGGATCTGGCGGGACTTTTTTGAGGAGCGCGTGTGACTCAGGCTTACCTAAGGTGAAGACTGAAGGGCCCCCACCAGTAAGATGGCAAACTTCCGGATTCTCTTCGGGGGGTCCTCGGTTCCCGTTGGCACCACCTGAAGCCCAATCACCTCTTGCCCCCCTCCCAATCCCAGCACCTAGCCAGCAGCCCCCAGCCCCGTAGAAGTAACACCACAATCACCCTATGCCCCTTCCTATATAACCCAGCACCTTTCCCTAATAAAGCGGAATTCTCCGGTGAATTGCTGCTGTGTGTCGCTCCTTTCCTTTCAAAGACCTCCAGCGTGTCCTTGTGTCCTGCAGCAGGCCTGCGGGGGGTCGCCTTTGTTAGGAAACACAGCACCCAAGTCTTAAAAGTAGTCATCGTGTAGGGTAGGACTGAGTGACTTTTCCCCTTTTCTACTTGTCTGTATTTTCTGAATTTTCTGGAATAATAACATATATTTATACAATAAATACAAATGAGTTTTATGTAATGCAAAATAAACATAAAAATGTTTTAAAACCCTTTAACACAGCCTAGTGCTTTGTGAGATATCATCCATGAAAATCACTGGGTCATTGGCCTCAAATAAATTATAGTCTAACATTGCAGAATGTTTTTAATAGGAGGGTCAGACAGCAGCCATGAGGGGTAAGGGTTCTACTGTCCACCTTTTGGTGAGAAGAGAGAGTAAGTTACTCCTGAACATCTATAGACCACTGTCAGGGCCTAGTATTTGGGCCCTGACAACTGGACCTTTCCATGACATATTTTCTCTCTAAATCCTATGTCCCTCCTTCGGTATTTCAAGAAAGACCAAACTACCAAGCAACACTCTTATAAAACTTGAGATGATGCTATCCATCTATTTGCTCTTATCTCAAACAGATTGCCTCAAACTCCCAGGATAACTTGCTTTCCTTCTCTGCAGAGCCCGTTGGTGGTTTAGCACTAGGCCATGTTAAAGGGCTTTGTAAGTCCAGGGAGAGGAAATCCCGGGGCAAAATCCCTCTAAAACCTGAAATCAGTCAAAGGGAGAAATAAAGTTTAAAACTCATTTATTGCTTACAAACTGCAGTCCAGCGCCATCTCTCTCCCCTGCTCTGGAAGCAAGCCAGCAACAAGCCAGCCCCTCCCCTTAACCTCTCAGGTTCAGACGTGCCCTCGGTTGCCCAGGTAATTACTCATTGACATGGGGGTGAACTTCTCTCCACCCCTGAGCATATGCAAATGCACCAAAGCCAGGCAAAATAATCTGGAAATGTTACAATTTTACCCATAGGCTTTAAAATATTTTTTATGTTTATTTTGCATGATACAAAAGTAATTTGTATTTATTGTATAAATACACATGGGGGTGCATGGGATCTTGAACCTCCTTACCTCCGCTGGGGCCTGGCTTCCAGTCTCCTGCCGTCTTCACTCTCCTCTCACCGTTGGCCATTTCATCTCAGCATTCAAGTGCACTGAAATATTTCCATTCTTTAAAATTAAAAAAAAAAAAGAAGTATACAGTATCTTCCTTCCCTCCCTCATCCACCACTAGCTGTTGTTCAATTTCTTCCCTTCCTTTCCCAAACTTCTTTAAAGAGACACCTATGCTTACTGCCTCCACTTCTCAGGCTCCCTCTTGCTCCCCCAGCGCCCTTCCTGTTGTCCCCAAGGTCAACAGACTGCTAAAGGCAAAGGTTTTCCTCTCACCTGCCCAGCGTTTCTCAAAGATGGCCCCCCTGGTCTGTATTAGAATCACCCGGAGGTCCGAGCTGAGCCTCCTGGGTAGGGATCTGGCGGGACTTTTTTGAGGAGCGCGTGTGACTCAGGCTTACCTAAGGTGAAGACTGAAGGGCCCCCACCAGTAAGATGGCAAACTTCCGGATTCTCTTCGGGGGGTCCTCGGTTCCCGTTGGCACCACCTGAAGCCCAATCACCTCTTGCCCCCCTCCCAATCCCAGCACCTAGCCAGCAGCCCCCAGCCCCGTAGAAGTAACACCACAATCACCCTATGCCCCTTCCTATATAACCCAGCACCTTTCCCTAATAAAGCGGAATTCTCCGGTGAATTGCTGCTGTGTGTCGCTCCTTTCCTTTCAAAGACCTCCAGCGTGTCCGTGTGTCCTGCAGCAGGCCTGCGGGGGGTCGCCTTCCCAGCACTGCCCTGGGGCCTTGCAAGAGCAGAGCTGGACCTGACCGGTAACAGAAATTTTTGTGATATGAAATCATACACAATGAGGAAGGAAAAGAGAAAACACAAACACACATTTGTGTCCTAAAGAAAATGTTTCAAGTTTGATCTCATTTCCTTTTTCTTTTTTTTTGCTAGTTACTTACAATTGTGGTTTAGATTAGTCTTGGCTTCTTCAGACTTTCCGGGGACTGGAGATTTGACTCTCTGTGGAATAACACAGATCAAAATGACCGTCTGACCCAATAGTATTTGGCACAGGGACGGTGGAGCAAGAGGGAATGATGGTGAGGACGGAAGGAGGCTTGGAAGATCAAAGTGTTTAATTCTGTCGCTTTGTGCCCTCAAGCATCAGATCTTATCAGTGACATCTGATGGCTGATACCATCATATATGTGCTGTCCTAAAAATCTTTCACTTCCTTAATAAGGGAAAACTCAGCTGACGTCAAACTAAACCAAAGCCCTTATCTCCAGGTTAAATATTTGCATTTCTTAAATTTGAAGGCTGTAGGCTGGCAGCTGATGAGACCCTGGGTCTGGCTGGGCTTGACAGATGCCCAGAGGAGATGGCAAAGGCTGGTGACACTGAACCCGAGGTCAGCGTTGGGAGGAGAACAGGCCCCTAGGCTAACTGCTGTCCAGGAGGGCGCTACAAGGACACGCAGCCGTATCCGCATCCCAGTCACCAGGATCCCGAAGCAGGCAGGGTCTTGTGTGCGGAATGCTGGCAGTTCTGGGCCCCCTTTCCACCTTGCAGACAGCCTTTTCCAACTCGTCCCTTCTTGGGGCCCCAGTGTTGACCCTGACAGAGGAAACTCCCCATCCTGTCGCCAGTCAGATAAGAACACCCTCCGGAGGAGGAGATTGCTCTGCACTGGCTTTCAAAGGCAGCCCAGGGCTCTTGTTCCCAGGCATCCACAGAAGCGTGGAAGGAATTTATCTCATGTCACTTTGTCTCGCTCAGGTAAAAACCCCAAAGCTCTTACTGCCTCATTCAACACACTCACTGGAGCCACACAAAGGCCTGGTTGGAATGGCATTTTATTCTCCCCTGACAGCCTTCTGCTGGGTACTGTAAAATGGCTCAGAGGGACTTAGTGGCCTTATGGCCTCTTGTTCAAGGCTGCCCTTGTTTCCTCATGTTGGAAAGACACGGGTAAAGCTGTCTTTACACTTAGAGGTGGCTGGGGTGCTGGGGAGAAGGGAGGGATGCTAGAAATGAGAAATTTTCAGTTTATCACATCATGAAAAGGAAAGACTGGGAGGGGTGCAATTTTTGAGCAGACGGAAGTAGGTGTGGATTTTTGTCATTTGTGGGTGAGCTAGGGACCAAGGCTTGGCCACCACACCAGGCTTCCAATCGGCTCTTGGAAAAAGCAAACGAGGTGTGGCTGGGTGGGGGGTAGGTTTTAATCTTCCTGAAAAAAATAAGAAGGTTGTATGCACACAAGAGAGGTTGTGTTGGGAGAGAGCAGATTTATAATTTAAAAAAGTTCCTCCCCTCTCCAGCTTCCTAGCCCCAAAATGAAATTAAATCTCTTCCTCCAGTAAAATCAGCTGAGTCCAAAAGAATTCCCTTTTTGCAGATGTTATGGAAGGTTCCAGAGCCCTCTGTCCATAAGTTCAGGGAGGCCGTGGCTCAGGGTTAGGCGCATTATAAATGGTGTTTTCATGGACCTGGAGAGAAACCTAACCCCACCATTACTTGATTGGAAAAGAGACTTACTTGGCTACCTTCCCCCTTCTAAATAAGTCAGTGTTTAGAGTAGCAGACTTTCAACTTTTTTAAAAGTAGGGAAGATTCTCAGCCTCTTTCCCAGGATGTATAAATGCACATCTAAATTACCATAAATGAATGCATAAGAAATGCTGCCATCATGGAGAGAAAGCCTAATCTCAAAGCAATTTTGGAAAAGTAAAAGACAAGCCTGTATTTACTTTGGCTTGTCATTACTGAGGATACTAATTTGTAAAACCTAGAATGCTGGGAAAATGCATCTCCCAAATCTGAATAATATATTTTGAAGACATATGTGGAGTGTACATATATTTTTTAAAAGAATGAAGAGGGAGAAGTTGAGATGAAAATATTTTGTGGGATGTTTTTGAAGACAAGATAGGGAAAATGCTTGAATATAATGATACATTTAAAAGGCAGATTACAAAATTGCATATATAATGATGAAAGTACCTATCAAGTACACACATAGTAACAGTGGTCTTCTCAAGTAGTACAATGATGAGTGATTTGTTTCCTTTTCTGTCTTCTAAAAGTTCTCTATAATAACCATGTGTTAATATTTATCACACAAAAAGGAAAACCCAATAAATATCACTTAAAATATATAAGCTCTAAAGAAGGCAAGTAAACCGAGGTTAAACAATATTCCAGGACAGTTAGGTTAGGATTTTTTTTCTTAATACCTATTGCTTCACTAATTCTCAGGCTCTGTGAATTGACTGAATTCATACTCCAGCTACACCCCTACTTCCGTCTGTCCTGCATGGGGCAGCAGGTCTCTGGCAGGCTTGAAGTGATTCAGGCTCTATAAACCCACCAGTGAGCAGGCCCATTGGTAAGTGCACAAATGTGAGACATAGCCCACTAGAAGTGAGATGATGCCACAGCAGTTTAACCCCAGGAATAATAAAGAAAGTGTAAAAGCCATATGCTTCCCTAGAGTAACAGAAAACATCTGTCTTCAAGCTCACAAGTTTGGAGATGACATCTCTAAGAATAAGCCCTTCACCATTCTTTCTTGAACATATTTGTTCCTTCTCGCCAGAATCCCTTTCTGTGCTGCAACAAGGCCTTTTTTTGCCTCTGTCCACATCTCTGGATGGAGATCTCTGCAGTGGTCAGCCTGCCAGCTCTCGGTGTCAGGTGGCAAGGTCATCCAGGCTGTGCAGCTGGCCTCCTTGGGACTAGGCGGAGTTCTCAGGGCAGAGATGGGCCTGACGGCGGGGGCCACAGGTGCTCAGGTACAACCTGAGGGCAGGCACGGGACTGAGAGGATCCCCAGGCACCACGTTGGGTCCCCGACGCAAGTGACTGCCTGGAAACCATGCGTTCAGCAGCTCTGTGAGGAGGGGCCCATCTGAGGGCTGCAGTCCCCTCTGCCCCCACCTGTTCTCATTCTACCTTATACCTGGATGGCTGAGACGGATCGGTGTTCTCTTGCTCTACATGTTTGCACCTTTCCCTGCTCTCTCTTCTTCATAAAGTCTCAGAGAGGAGTTGTAATGAATCTTGGCTATTGATAGCGCGGTCTTTCAAAATGTGTCTTGAGACACACTGGTGATGTGAGAAATCAGCTTCACGGGTTAAGGTGAAATGGAGTAAGAATGGAATGGAATCAAATTGAAAATATAAGAATATATTGCAGGCGGAGCCAAGATGGTGGCATGAATAGAGCAGCAGAAATCTCCCAAAACCACATATATCTATGAAAATATAACAAAGACAACTCTTCCTAAAATAGAGACCAGAGGACACAGGACAACATCCAGACCACATCCATACCTGCGAGAACCCAGCGCCTCACGAAGGGGGAATTTACCCTAAGAATGCAGCAATCAAGTCTGAGAAAGACAGATGCACCCCTATGTTTATTGCAGTACTATTTACAATAGCCAAGAATTGGAAGCAACCTAAATGTCCATCGGTAGATGAATGGATAAAGAAGATGTGGTACATATACACAATGGAATACTACTCAGCCATAAGAAG